TATACCAGTTAATGCGACGAACGAACTGAAAACCTAAAAGAAGGAAAAAAATTGAAATGAGGACGGAAGAAAATATCGGGGGAAACTCTCTTTGGCAAATATTTGAAACTTTGAAGACACTCGGAAAACTTTCCCCGTAGAATCGCGCATTTGGAACGTTGCCCGCATGGAAAATGTTCTGGGCCTCTAATTTCCGGAAGTGAACTCGGTTGATACGAGCCAGAAATTGCGTTTCCCTCGGCGAAAATGCGCGCTCGGTGCGTTTGTAATGTCGCGTTAATTCGACCGGCCCTTTCTCTCTCTCTCTCTCTCTCTCTCTCTCCCTCCCGGCATGTCCGTTGAAAAACGAATCTAATTAAAGTCCCCCGACAAAAGGAGATTTTCCATCGGTCCGGATCCTCTCGTATTTTCGGCCGTCGGGGCTCTGTAGCTTCCACGTCGGCATTATAAGCATCTCTCCCTTCGCTGGCTCGAGGAACATTTTGCGGCGTGAAACGCGGCTTGCCCTCCGCCTCGCAATTCTTCGCGGCCGCTCCGACGTTTTCGTTTCCGAGGAGACGCGTGACCTTTCCGGAACGTTCCCTTTCCCTCCCCCTCGTGCGATACAACGCGAAACGCGTGCGTTGTTCATGTCCACGGGGAAAAATGTATCTTCCGCCGGGTTACGGCTCCGCCGTCACTCCGACACACTCTCCATCTTCCGGCCTGGCGGAAATTTACACCCCGAAAAATGGAGAGAGAAAAGCGGTGAGCCGCGCCGCGCCGCTGCTCACCGCTTTTCTCTCTCCGCGCGTGCTGCTGACACGACAGAGAGAGAAAGAGAGAGAGAGAGAGAGAGAGAGAGAGAGAGAGAGAGACAGAGAGACAGACGCGAAGAAGAACACGCGTTCTCCCTCCGGAGGGAGCACAAACACAAGGTGCTCTTCCTCTCGACGGAAAGTTTCTTCGTCCGCCGGCGCGGCGAGACGAACATTGTCGCGTGCACGCGCGGGTCATTGATTTCGCGAAACGGCTGCTTTGCGGAGGAGAAACACACAGAGAGAGAGAGAGAGAGAGAGAGAGAGAGAGAGAGAGAGAGAGAGAGAGTAGGGGAAGAGAACATGCGCTCGCGAACGACGTTCCGCGACTTGTACTGATTCCCCATCTGCGGGAGGAGTCTCGACCTCTTGACCTCCCATCGCGCGGCGCGTCGGCGGCATCGCGAGCCTCATAAATAATCAGCCGGGAGAGGACACAAGCAGCGGCGTATTTCTTCCGCGATCGCCGCGATCGCCGCGGCGGGATGAATTCCGCGCGCTGCAGTATTCCGAGAAGCGGAAGCGACGTTGCGTCTCGTCGCTCGAGCGATGGCGGATCTAACGCGGAAATGAGATCGCTGCTGGCTCGGGGATCCGCGATCGCCTTGTTATGGGTGCCCCTCTCTGTCTCCCTATCTCATCCCTCCTCTTTCTCTCTCTCTCTCTCTCTCTCTCTCTCTCTCTCCCCTTCTCTCTGGTCTCGTCTCGGAAAATATTCCGCACACGCGGCGTCCCGGGACGCGGATCCGGGTCTTTGCATCCGAATGTCCGTATTAAGCGCGCACGTGCAAATTGATATATTTACGGCTCGCGTTTTACCGCGGTTTCTCACCCCCCGCCATCCCTCCCTCGCTCGTTCGCTCGTTTGCTCGTCGTCTTACCCGGATACCACCCTCGGATCTCTCGGCAACCGAGTGCGGTGAAACAGTCGGCGGTCTTCGACGCCCCCGCGTGCGGTTCTCATCGGCTATCAAGGGGGATGAAGATATTGAAAATGAATAAATAAACGAACAAGTAACGATCGGCGGGAAACTGACAAGTGATAAGCTCCAATATCCTGACATTTCTTTCACGAAAACACCTTGATATTCCCGATAAGCGCTCCTTAATTTTTAATGCGCAAACTCCTCGACAACTAACTATGTAATGTTCGTTGAGATCTCGTAAGGGTCGAAAAATGGCGCGAGTTTCTTAATTCGGCAAATTCGAGCGGAGCTCGCAGACTCCCTGATATTTCGCGGTATCGGCGCAGGATTAACTGCGTTCTTCGAGCTTCGAGCGACAGCGACGAGGGGAGGAAGGGGCGGCAGGGAAATGCGCGATTCGCGAAGAATTCGCCGAGAGTTTCGACGCTGTTCTTAGCCGAGAGGTTCTTTAAAAACCCCAAGAGGCCGGGGGCGAGGGAGGGGGGCTGGAGGCCCTTCAAGCCGCGGAAAACCAATGTCGCGCACGTGCTGCGTCCTCGAACGCGTACGTGGATTATTATTATCCGCGCGTCCTTTGCGGGCGCATTCTGCGGGGAAATCTCGTCGTATTTGTCGCGGGACTACTTTGTGCACCGATGCGAGGTGCCTCCTCGCGGGGGGCGGGGGGGGGGAGGGGGAGGCGTTTCCGCGTCATGTCGCGTCTCGCACGAAATTCCATGACGCGCGTCTCGTCGCTCCTTACAATTCCCCGCCTCTCGTTTTTTCTTTCTCTCTTTCTCATTTCTTTCGCGCGGAAGTATCGTTCTTTTTTCGTCTTCACGGCGCGAGAGTCGCGGAAGAACAGGAACGGGTTGCGCAAATGGCGCCGGATTATGAACGCGCCGTTGCGACCCCCTGTTTTATTTTCCCGGGCGACTTATCTCGGACGAGAACGCGCTCCAGCGATAGGGACGGTTGGGGGCAGCGGGGGAGGTGGCGATAGTTACGTCTGTGCAAGAAGCGGGAGGGCATCTTCTGGTCGTTCACCGTGAAGCTTTCAACGAGAGCCGGGCCACTGGATGTAGCGATTTTTGCAGAAATCGCGGCTAAACTTTCGGAAACTACCCACGTCTTATTGTCGTGAACTCCGGTGAAAGTACTTGGAATGATCTCGAATGAATGCCTATAAATGGATTTTTGCCGACAAACAAGTTTAATGCACCAGGAAACTCTAAATAGCGTTACATATCGCTGATATTATAGCCCCCTGTCCCCCTCCCGGAGATAAGTCAACGTACTCTTTTTTTATTCAGTCACCGCTGTCACCCAATTTCTTGTTTTACGTGAATGATAACGATACATGATGTAATTTGAATACTTTTGGCACGAGTGACCCCAAAAATAAGCAGAGGAAGAATCGCTTGTTTTCTGGACCTTGAATTCGGAGCCAAATTGAAACCAAAAGATGAAAAAGATTTTTAAAATATATCATTACCATTATAGCCCGTGTCAAAATGAAGGCAGTGAAGCCAAGTTTGGAAAAATAATGACTGTACAAAAAAGAAATGATCGAAAATGGAACTGTTTTCAACTTGTAATCATGCTTAAGAAAAAAATGAATAAAATAAAATATAACTGTGTTCGAGGTAGGGGCGAAAACTACATGTTTACTGTGTATTATGTAAAAGTTTCGAGTTATTCGGTTCAGTAATTTTTGCGTAATCGTGTCGAGAGTTTAAGAAAATGGTGTTTCCAGATAAACGCGTTTGAAGTTTTATATACACTTTCCATATATAATAGATGGTAACAAATTTATTTTATACTTTGAACATTAATGAATATACCGTGAACATTTCAAGTCCATTGATCCCAGCGTTTCTGTTAACAAGAAATTCGTAAAAATAATCTTGAAAAGCCTTGCCTGCCCCGCATGTAATTCCCCCCTTAATATACGGCTCGTGTACGAAGCGACGCGCACGTTGCGATGATTTCTCCCCTTGGTTCGGCGCAGCGAGGCCGCTACACGTAACGGCGCTCCAATAATAGCTCGGCAATCCGCCGGCCGCCGCGAGGAGAGGAAGATTTTCCGCTTGCAGATCGGCCGACTCGCTGCGACGCGCCCCCAGCTTCGCCTTGTTGCGAACACTCGAAGAAATGACATCCGCGAGCGTCGGCGGAGGGTTGGAAAAAAGGATTTAAAAGGAGGAGGGGGTTTGATCAATTGAATTGGTCCCCGGCGCGTGCACTCGGATTGATTAGTCGGAGATCGCGTCCCGATGACCGGCAGAACTTGAAGTGTTATCTTTTCCTGGCCGCCGTTCGCTGTGTGCGCTTTTGAGTCGATTTTTCAGCGGTACGTGTATTTGTTGTACATCACAATCGATTGCACAGACAGAATTTTGTACAACGAGGGTTGCTAGAGAATTCTGCAGCCGCGCGGGACGTATCGACGTTTTGCCTTAATTTATTATCCTTCCGTCTCCCACACGTGCTATTTATATTTCAGGAGAATTGAAAAGCCGAGTATTAAAGCATGCATCGTGTGTCCCTCGGCAGAGTAAATTCTTCCGACGGTCTATTCCCGTTTCGCAAAAAAAACAAAAGTATGATAAAATTGAAGACAATTTATTATATGAGGAATTCCACGTAGCATTCTCTCCGTGCAGATCAGACACGAAGAAGAGACCAGGGACGAAGGAAGGGAAACGCATCAATTATCGTATTCAAAATACGAAGAAGAAAGTAACTTCTCATCCCTGAGCGCATTCGCTCTCATGAAACAGAAGCTCGTAGCTCAGATTGCCTTCTTCCATGGTCATCCTCGAGAACCTCGCGACCTTGCCTTACTCAGGGCGCGTATTCGGCCAGGGAATCTGATCACCGCGAACCGCCCTGTCCTGATTTCGTGAAGTCGCGTCGCGAAAGACGATGAGGCGCACGGAATTCATGGATGACGGCAACGTCATCCGAAGAATTCCTTCGCGGTCGTCCCTCGGCAAGACCTCCTCGTCGTGTGGAGGACAGAAGAGTCGAGGCGCGTCGGCGAAGCCGGTATTCCAGCGAGAGGCTCGCCGTTCTCTCGGCGTTTGCGAGGAAGCCTGATGATCCGGGCTCGCGACGCGACTGCTAGTCTGGTCTCGCGTTACGTCGAGCCCTCATTTAACTCGCCCTCTGATCGAGAGAGAGAGGACTCTTTGTTCGCGAGTATCGTGATAGCTCGCGTTTTTTGAACGTCTTCTCGGCGAGCCCGAAGAAGAATATCGAGCGACGCATGGAGAAAGATGTTCGGTCGGATGAGCGAGTTTTCTGCGGTGAAATGTGAACGACTTCGGGATTCTGCTTAAAAATACCAGAATTCTGCTCAAATAGAAATCTTGCTACATGATTTCGATTGAATTCCAGCAACTTCAACCGGACTTGTTCGGAATTGTTGATATTTCATTAGAAAATTGTTTTCACTCAAACCAAACACATTTTCATTCGCGTGGATTAAAATTTTGAGACTGACATTTTTATTTCTGGGAGAGTCGAAATTTTTCTGACAATAACATCGTCATTTTCTCACGTTATTTTTCTCTCGAAATTAATATTATTTTTTCCTTCGGATAATTATTTTGATATTCGCCTCGTTGTCTCGGTTCATCGCGCTAAATCTCGCGTAGGACGCGAAAAACCGTCGCAGCGCAGATTTCACCTCGTGAATTAATCACTATGTGGGAAGGGGGAGAAAGAGAGAGAGAGAGAGAGAGAGAGAGAGAGAGAGAGAGAGCATCTCTGGAAACCGCGAAGTGAATTTCCGGTCGACTTCAAAATGCACGCGTTGTGCCTTCCCTCGGGAGATCACACGTGGCGTGGCGTTCGCTCATTTTCGAGCGCAAAGCGTCAATAATTACGGCGGACGTGTGACTGGAAAAAAAATTGGAGCGGGTCCTCTCTTTTCCCTTCTCTCTCGCGCAACATAACCGCGCCAATAAAACGCACGCCGGATATATCAAGCGTATTATTACGGAGGGTGCTATTAATTTCATCGTGTTGACGTTTTTTCATGACCAACACGCGCGCGACAACTCGAGTGTTTGATAATACTTTTTCGTTCCCCCAGCCCTTGCTCGAACGAACAAAATCCTTTGTTTTTAATTAATTCCCGCGTTCCAACTGCAAGCAAGCAAAACTGATTTTCGTCAGTTGCGTTTTTTTTTGAAATTTGGTTTTCCCGAGCGTGCGGAAGAGACCGACATTTTACGCGCAAATTATGACGTGATGATTAAATGAGGTTAAGATATCAATGAAAAGCCGAGTTCACACATTCGTGCAGAGGGGGAAAGAGGGGAGAAAGTGAAATTATCCGAGAAGTGAAGAAATTAATGCAGCAGCAGCGCGGTTTTTACCGCGCGTTGTAATTTGCGGTCGGAATGTTATTACGATTATTCGCGATAATTCTCGTGCACGCGTGTCGCTGCCGTACCGTACCGTAGCGAATCGGCGAACTTGGCGCTGCTTATCGCGAATAAAACGCGGCAGTCCCGTGATAAATGCGACGCGCTGCATTATATCAATTAGTGTCACGCGCAGACGTTTCGGCCGCGGAAAAAGTGTGCAACGATTCGTCGCTCGCTCGCGAGCACTCTGCAAATCCCACGTTCGTGCCGCCGATGAGCGTCGGATCGTAAAAAAGAAAAGAAGGGAAGAACGATCAAAGTCCTTGATCAATCCGAAGAGAGAGAGAGAGAGAGAGTGTCGCGAATCGCGCGAGACGAGACGAGACGAATGAGAAAGGAGAAAACGACACGGTCCGGAATTAATCGTCCGCGATGAAGACACAACTGCGGCCGCGGCGGGAGGTGCTTTCCTGCGAATTGATTATCGGCTCGGTTATTAATTGATTATTATCCGTGCATTGTTTTCGCATGAGACGCGACAACGGGGGGAACAATGTCGGCGGAAACGGACGTTTACGGCCGGAGCGAACCCGATAATCTCGCGTCTCGTCTCGGCACTAATTTCCATCGAAATCGCAACTACTAATGGGCGGAGGAGGGGAGAGGTGGGAAGAGGAGGGGGAGGGGGAGAGGAAGGCAGCATGAATCTGCACGGTAATAAGGAAAGCAATCTCTTCATTACTCCGCCCGTCGTTCCCACCTCCTCGGCTGCCATTAATTTCCTGCCATTATCGTGCCGAACAACATCTTATCCAGACGGTTAGCCAACAACCTGATCGGCGTGCGACAAACTCGATTATCCTAAACACGCCTCACACGCGAGACTTTCCGCGTCGCAGCGACTCCAATGCCGTAGCGGTAGCGTTCCGCGCGCTCTTCCTCGATCGTGCAGTCTCGGACAGTCGATTCTTCGTCTCTGTCGTGCTTCTAATCGTATTTTATTCGACCGCAGAAATATGCGTCCGGTCGCTCGTACAGCACACACAGCAAAAGTTATTAGGAGATTTATACGTAACGATGTATCGACATTCTGTCCTCGTTTGTCATCTTGCCGTTGCTCATGTTTCGGAAGCTGAAATCTATTGCCCATTAAAAATTATCTACTGCCTATTAAACTAGAGATATCTTTATCTCTCTAGTTTAATCTTCCATTCAGCTGGAATCTTTGTCTTTGCTTGTCAAACCGACATCCGTCGAAGGGAACATTTTGGTATCCCATCTATATAATTATATTTCTTATACAATCTCTGAAATACAATTTAATCCTTTAACTGCTGAGATATTAAATGACCCCCCTTTGCTGAGTTATTTTTACAATTGTAAAATATTTTATAATTTGCTGATGATCCAGATTTTCACAAATTCACATTTCTAAATTTAAAAAAAATACCACACGCAATACCACACACATTGAAAGTCCAAACCGAGTAAACTCGATCGTAGCAAAGCCGCCATCTTTTTCCACACTCGAGTTATCTCGATCGTAGCAGTTAAAGGGTTAATTACATCTGAAATGAAAATTCACCATTAATCAACAAATCCGCCATCTATCGTAAATTACTACATTCCTTGGTAAAATAAAAATTTTACCTCCACGGTCCATTCCTGTACCGCTCGAAAAAAACATGGTGAAATAAAAAAGAACATCAGAAGAAAAAAAACTATATGATATTCTTTCCGTGTAATCGTAATCACTCGGTGTATTATTATTACCATCGTTACCGCGTCTCCGGCATATTGACGTCACTGTTGTGAATATTTTCCAACGACGGCGTTTTTAGCAGCGGATCATGTTCTCGGCGGCTAAAAACGTTAATTACTCATTTTGTATGTCAGATGGACCAAATGTGATCAGTTTACAGACCAACCGTTGTGTGGAAATCGATGTAGTTCGTCGAGTCCGCGTATACCTACCAGTGTAGGTTAAGCAACGTTCCACTCCGTATCCCCCCGAAAGTGGTGACCAGGCAACTTGCTGTTTGTGTGGAGGAGAGAGAGAGAGAGGAGAACTTTTACCTTGCTGCGCGCGCAGCGAGCCAAGAACCATCGCGCGCGGTCGGGTTCCCCCCCTCGCGGTTTTTATACAACTCCCTCCGTGGAAACGCGCGTGCGTGTTGTTTTCAATTTCCTCCTTCTCTCGTCCTCTTGCACCGTTCGTTTGTTCTCCTTTGAGGATATGATATACACTGCGTCTTCTGCCTCTCATGAGAAGATGCGGTTATCTCTCAAAGGTAGAGAAAATGGCACAATTCCTCCACCCCGCTGCAGGGAGAAGAGGCCGACGCCTTTTCTCATTATCCTGTTGTGGGACTAAGAGGTGCCAACATTTTTTTCCTTCCCTTTCGTTCGATAATTTATTCCGGGCTGCTTATTAGTTCTCGCGGCGTGAAATTTATGTTGTGTTGTCGTCGGAGTTGAACACGATTTTAGCTCCTTGCACTCTGCAGATTTTGACGTGACTTTGCTCATAAGCTTTGAAATTCAGCGAAAAGATCGCGTTTCTCGATATTGGCTAATTAGAGTGTGTAATTTCGCGAATACAATTTAATGCAGCTTGACGTCACCGACCTGGCACGCGCGGAACACAATGCGAAGATTCTCAGAGCCAATCGGGATGGACACTCGGAGGGTTGTTAATCTCAAACTCGATCAGAGCGATGTCTTAATTGCTTCTTGCGTCTCACGTCGCGGCGTAGCGATGTCCGACGACCTCGTATTTGCGGTTTTGCGGGGAACGCGAGTACAACGAATAACTTCGCGAAAACGCCACGCGGAAATGTCGGATTTCTCGGCGAGAGGTAGCGGCGGCGTCGCTTCGATCCGCGCACCGCGACGAATAGCTGCGGCTGGCCACCAGAAGCGGTTATTCTCTGGTCGCGATTTCGGGAAAGGACTTCTCTCTCTCTCTCGCTCTCTCTCTCTCTCTCTCTCTCTCTCTCTCTCTCTCTCGCTCTCGCGATATTTTCGTCCGGCGTGGCAACACGCGACTCGTGTCTCGTAAGTAGCCACATTTAGGAGCGCGCGCGCGAGAGCACGCTCGGTCCGCGCAAATGCAACGCGCCAGCTGCTCGGGACGCCTGTGGTCGTCCTCCCGATGTACCGAGTCACTTCGCTTTAATTATACGTCTCCACCACTTGATGGCAAATTGTCCCGTAATTCGGGTCAGCCGGGGGGTATTCGTTCTTTATTGCAATTAATAACGCCTTCAAGCGGCTTTCGCGGCGAGAAACAGCTTCCCGGAACGCGCTTAGCCGAAGCGGGCGTGAGCACGCGATATCCGCGCGCATGGATCTCCGTGGATTGGCTGACTAAGCTGGCCGAGGAATTCAATTAATAAGTAATTAGTTAGATTAGTAAAAGTCATTAGTGAAAGTCAAGCCGTGTGTGCCGGGAGACTTCGCGATATATCCCTCTCGGAGGTCCGTGGCAGCCTGAGTTGAAAATTTTCCGAGGATTCGCACAGGGCGTTCATTTGCGCCCACGGTTGCCAATATATTGTCCACAACTTACTTTTGTTCACTGAGCGGTTTTGCTCGTCCTGCAAAGGAAACTTCTAAACGAAAGGAAATGGACAGTTGTCACTTCCCGGACACACACTTTCTTCCCCTCTCTCCGAGCGGCTTTTCTTGAAATTGCGCGCTGGACGTATTTAGGAGTATTCGGTTTGCTGACATTTCAACCGACGTAGTAACGAGACCGATCGAGTTTTTACATTCCCGAAAGATCATCGTCGTCCGATGCCGACGCTGCCAACGAGGCGCTCGCTCTCGCCGCTGAAATGATTTGCGCTCGTGCAGAGAATTCCTTCGCGCACCTCGCGCCTTCTTCATTCAGCCGTCGATCACTTTTAAGCAAGAACTCGCCTCAAGTGTATCGCGACAAACATGGCGCACGGGCATAACGAATTAACCTCTCGGTGATCTCGAACCGGTCGGGATTGTCGTCCCTCCCGAAATAACCGGGTCGTTACGTCGAAGAATCCTACAAAGAGCCGCCTCCCCTCCTCCCTCCCTCCCTCCCATCGCTATCTTTCTTCCCCCCGTCCTCTCTCCTTGTCTTTCGGTTTCTCTGTGCATCCGGCGGAGGACCTCCCAAGTACCGGACGTAATAAAGTCGTCGCGCCGGGAGATTGCCATTTTTCAGGAATATGTAGATTGACCTTAATTTATTGCGATCGATGAGACGGGTCAGGGGGCAGTTTATAGCTCGTTTAACTTTGCGGACCTTTGCTCGCGGGGCGGGGCTTCTTTGATTGCTCAACTGAGGCGCAATGCAATTATTATATTTTGCGTCGCTGTATTGACAAACGGGGAAAACGAACGGAAAGCGAACGATCGAACGCATCGATCGAAAAGACGCGCCTGCTCGCCTCGCCGAGACATTTTCACCGTCGCGCTCTTCGCGCGCATGCATCTCTTATGATTTATTCTCGGAGCCTGTTCCCGGGACGAGTTATCTCCTTTCGCGGGAGCAGCCGTAACGTTCACCGGTAACATTTACCGCACGCCCGTTGATCCGCTCGATCCGCGGATTTCCGAGGCCGCTGGATTTCTTTTCTGCCCCTCCCCCCCCGCGCTCCCCCCTCCTCTCCCGCTCCCAGGCCCCCGCGAACGCACAGCGTTTGCGGCGCTGTGTTATTTCCCGAGCTGTATCATTCGTTCGGAATTGATGATAATACGACGGCGGGATTTAGAAAGACGCGCGGCACGTACGACGCGGTTGCGCAACGCGAGAGAACGAGAAAACAGGCGGATAATGTCGCAGTGGGATCGTCCTCTCCACATCGCGTACATCAATGTTACTCCGCGCAGTACCGCTCTCTCTAATGTGTATAATAACTGCTAATTTCTGAATAAGCCGGTCTGATGTACCGTTAGCTATATATATATATATATATATATATGAAACGTGGATGAAACGTTTACAAAGCGTTTTGCGCTCGCGCCTCGCCGAGCCGCTGCTACGCAAGAAACCGTCGCGTTTACGCGGCCATAAGATGCGAAAGAAGCGCGAGGGAGTGAGCTAATTCGCGTGTAAATTCGCGGATTTTTACCGTGCCCGAGCTCTGTGATTAGCCATACGAACGTAACTCGTTGCCTGCGCGCATTGATTACAAGCGGTCTCGCTGTGCCGCGGGCTAATTGCGGATTAATAGCGAAAACACGCTAATTTGCTGGAAACACCGTCGTCGCGACCCTTGTGGAGTCGAGTCGTATGTTCCAACATAAATTTATTTATTCTTTTGTTATCCGGTCATTCCGTCGTTTCTCCGTCTTCTTCTCGCAGCTTGTACAGACAAATAGGAATTTGTTCGTGGATTCGCCGCGATTGAGGTCATGGCTTATGTCCAGACAGCGCGACTTAATTGGGCTCTTCAATCGAGGAATCAAGCGGAGGATGGCGGAATAAAAGATTCCTCACGGCGCAGTTCGTTGATCCGCGGCGCGCCGCTCTCCTCCGCGCGATTAGTCCGCGATTAATAATCCGACGATCGCTCCCGATCGTCTTCCGCATCGACTCGTGCAGTCGTCTGCAAGTCGCTCGAAGGAGATACTTCCCGTTGCCGATGTGCATCCACCACACGTCACTCGTAACGCGCATACTTTCTAACGGACGACCTTCGAGGGAACGACACTGCGCTCGCTTCTCTCCGTTCTCTCCGTGGTACGCGCGCGAGCGTGTGCGTGCGCGAAACGCAAAATGTTTCTCATATTTCAGACCTCGGTTGTGACAGCGGCTAGACTGGGGGATCCGAAACGCCGCGTCGGCCGGAGATCCGCGAGTCGGTTTAAATTAGCGAGTCTAGACGCCTCGGAAATATCACGTGGTGGCGAGCGTCGCGCCGCATCCGCCGTCTTCACCGGTTCGAATGTTCGCGCCTCGGCGCGCCGCTCATCGCCGTCGAGGATCGCGTCTGGACGTTTGCAACGCGACTCGACTCAAAGTCTTTGAAAATAAAGCTCCGCGCGCGCGCGCGTGCGAGAGAGAGAGAGAGAGAGAGAGAGAGAGTGCGCTTCCGGCGGAACTGCTGTCGAACGTCATCCGACGCGCAGATGATCTATCTATTGCAAAATTAGAACTATTGGTGTGCTAATTAGTCAGGGTTACGTTAGGTTAGGTTAGGTTAGGTTTGGTTGGGTTGGATTCCGTGACACGACGAGCGAAACGAGAGTAGAGCCTGCGGGAGATCTTTTTCCAGCGAGATGCACGTCTCGACGAGTGCGCGACGGCGCACGCGGTGCGCCAACGCGACCGCCAGCGTTCTGCCCAGAACTGTCATCGTCCGCATTATCCACGATTTATCGCGATTCGGGTATAGAGAGGCGGTGTAGATTTTTTTACAAGTAATTGACGTTGTTACAGCGAAGTTGTCACTTCAGTTAATTGCGGCTTCATTAGCGAACTAATTGCATTTGCTCGTTTTTCTGTTTCAGGTATGTATAAAACTCAAAGTAGACGAGGGAAGTGCGCCGTTCGATTTAGCCAGTCGATCGTGCCGGTCTCCACGTCAACCACGTCACGTGAGTTACATAATGCGCTCGAATTTATCCTCCCGTAAAAAGCAGCCTCTTTGTTGGCGTATTTACACATGTCCGAGTTACGAGAGATGTACTGTGTTTGCGTCATCCTTTCTCTATTTCGCAAATACGCTACTGTTGTGTTGTCCCATATTTACCGCACCCACGATCGTCAACCACCGCTATTCGCAGGATGAAAATGCGTGACTTTCTACGTATCCATTTGAGAAAAGGAGAGGGAAAGGAAGAGAAGGACACGTGCGAAACTAGTAGGCGTCTGGCGAAATTTCGTCTGCCATTCTTCGCAGGTATTTTTATTAGGCTGTAGACGCGATTCAATTGGCATAACGGTTGAATGCAGACGGACAAGAGAGAGAGAGAGAGAGAGGAGAGAGAGAGAGAGAGAAAGAGAGAGAGAGGCCCAAATCGATCGCTGCAATCGTACGTCGGAAATGAGAAATCGCGCGTCTCTTCTTGCGCGAATTGTGTCTGAAATAACCCGGCGACAGCGCGCGAAAGTCGCGATTTCCCGGAATCGCATTTCCCCGGAAGTGCGTCCTTTTTATAGAGCAGCTGATATAGAGCGAGACTATCGGTGTCCATTCTCATCGTATCAACAATGAGACATTTTCAATGCGACGCACGGCAGATCAGTCGCGAAACGTCATCCGAAAGCTCATCCTGATCAGCCGGTGTCTGGGAAAAGGCAAGAGGAGCGAACCGAAACGATGGAAATATTCTTCTTGTCGCAGCGAGCAGCCAGCCCGATTTTCCCGGCGAAGCGAAACGCGATTGAACGAAACAACACCGACCACGCGCGGCAATTACGAACCTCAAGCCGGCTGGCGCGCACGCCGTCGTCCGCGGCGTCACACGGCCGCGTTTGCACGGTCTGATATACAATATGTTTGATAGACAATGAAGTCGCTCGTGTGTCCGCGGCAGCAGGAAAAAACGTGTTTTCCGCGCGGCGGTCGCCGCGTGTGATCGTTAGCATCGCGCCGGTGGAATATGCGCGCGCGCGCGCACGGCAAGTCTGCGCGCGGAGCAACACGTTAATTGGCCGGGAGTTACGGCGAACGTGCCATACGCGACCTCTTCCCGTCCCCGCGCGCGCCGCCGTTCGTGCCGCCGCAAGCCGACATCGCGCGCGCGGCGCGGCGCGGCAGCCGGCTGCCGTCTCGTGCTCGCTAGCATCCGCTCCGGGCGCGTCGCGGCGCTGCGGTCGCATGGCCGCCCTCAGTACTCGCGAGCCTCGCTCGGTGTGTGTTTCGTGGCGTGATCGTCGTCGTCGCCGTCATCGTGACCGTCCCCGTGTCTCGGCCGTGCGCCGTTTGTTGTTTTGCACGTAGCCAGTCCGTGTGCGCGCGTGTCTTCGCAATTAATTCCGTTCGCGAGAATCCGTCCCGGCCCGAGCGACGATCCTCTTCTCTCGTGTCGTGTCATCGACGCTGCTCCTCCGTCGCCGGACGATCCTTCTCTCTCTCTCTCTCTCTCTCTCTCTCTCTCTCTCTCTCTCTGTCTCTCTTTCTCTGTCTACCTTTCTTTCTCTGTTCTTCTCTCTCTCTCTCTCTCTCTCTCTCTCTCTCTGTCTTTCTCCCGCGGTCTTTCTCTCCGTCTCTGTCCGCCGTGAGCGGGAGAAGGAAGAGCAGCAGCAGCAGCAGCAGCAGCAGCAAAGAAGAAGAAGAAGAAGAAAAAGAAGAAGAAGAAGAAGCAACGACAGCAACGGTGGCGTTCGTCAGAGTTTGTGTCGCACGCGCGACGCGTATTCCCTCGCGCGTGTGTCAGTGTACGTGATTGCGTGTGTGTACACCGCGACGTCGGCGTCGTCGCCGTCGCTGACGAGGATCGCTGGAATCTCTCTGTCTCTCATGTGCCCTCCGCGTCGCCATCTCTCTCCCGCCGAACCGTGCGATTCTGTCCGTCGCCTGTGCTCCGGCTCCTCCCGTCCGCCCCTCCCGCTCCTCTTCGTGCCGTGAGTAACCTATCTGCCTATCCAGCTAGCCGACTACGTCGGCTACACGGAGTACTACGCGCCGCTCCTGTGTTTACGATCGTCGCGTCCTCTCTATCGCCGTCTCGCTCTCCTCTCACCTGCGCGCTCCTCGGCCTGTGCTCGGCGTACAGGTGTCCCGTGGAAGCGGCGGAGGAGAGCAGGCCGACGCCTGCTGCTGTGATATAACGTCCGGGGCCTCGCGCCGTGCCCCCGACGCTCCTCTCCGAATCCTGCCGAGAAAACGAGCCCTCCACTGCCCGAGTCGTCGTAGCCGACGTCGCCAACGTCACCGTCACCGTCATTTTCATCGTCGCCGTTACCGTTGAGAGTACGTACGTTATCGTCCGAGTTCGTGCGCTTCCGCGTCCCTTTTCGGCGCGTCCGTGCCTGTTCCGATCGTGCACTCGTGCGTGTATGGATGTGTCGTGGGTGTGTGTGTGCGCGACGCGCGTGCGCGCGCGTGCTGTGCGTGAGAGAGAGAGAGAGAGAGAGAGAGCACGAGGCGGAAAAATCTTTTTAAGCGTGTATTAGAGGAGCTGTGGTTACGCTCTCGTGCATCGTCGACGATGTTTGTCCTTGGAGATTCATCGGTCGATGGGCCGCGGCTCGTGAATGGACGCTTCTTTCCACGTCGCTCCCGTGCTTCGAATCGGGATTCGGGGACTCGTTGGGTCGTTTGACGCCCTCCCCTCCCTTCCAGGGCCGTTGAATGTCCCGTAGATGACTCGCGGAAAGAAGCTTCGAGTCTCAAGGACGCGCGCGAGTCCGTGGCCTCTTATCGCGTGGGTGGCTTATTTCGACGTCTGGGCGACGTCAACTGTCGAAATTAGCGCGGTGAAGTTGACGAGTCTCGACCACGTGACGTGAGGAATCGCGCGGAGGGGGAAGGGGGGAACCGCCGGTTGAATGAACGCGACATGAGTGGTGCGTGCGAGCGAAAACGCAGGAATGGTATCTGCGCTTGTTGTGAATTCCGCCCTCCTCCACCCTCTGAGCAGGAATTCCGTCTTCCTCGGGGAAGACGCGCGTCTCGACTCCGTCCGTTGTCGCGTGAATTCGCCCGGCCTGTCTTCTCTTCGAGGCATCATCGCGTCGACGTTCGCGGCCGTGTGTTATGCAACGACCTGTACTCCCGACGACGTCGAGAAGATCCACGTTCCGCGCTCCGCGTGACGTCCTCTCGGACACGCGGTAGCGTCGTCGTCTTCCTCCCGCTCCCCCCCGAGGAGCCGGTCTTCGCTCGTGCAACACGCGCGCGCCGTGAATGAAGTTATTGTGCGCCGCTTTCATCGCCGCGCCCTCTCGGCTCCGGGATGATCCTCTCGCGCGCCCGTGGACCGCCGGCCCAAGTTCCTCGCTATTGCCGGGATGTCGCGTCGAGCCGTGAACAACGAGCCGATCTTCCGGCCGAAGAGACTGACGAAGAGCGCGCCAGCAGATTTTCCTCGGCCTTGATCCGCGTCTCATAAAATTCTCGGGCGAGATACAGACTCGGGGTCGGCCCGGGGAGCTTCGCGGAGTCTTCGCCTCCCGATCGATTCGCCGGAGTGAGCTCTCGATTCGCTCTTGGGAAATTGATCTTTCCCTCCGAAAGTCGATCTTCAAAGCAGTCCCCCTCTGCTCGACTCTCGCCCAAGTCGATTCTCACGGACGCTCAGCCCGGTGGTGGAATTTTATCATCGAACCTAACAACATTGACGAATACGTATATCAGTCGGATCGAAAGTCGATTATCCGTTCCGAAGAGAATCGACTCGACACACGTCGGTTATCAATCTCTGATAACCGACCGATTGACGAAAACGGCGCTGTCGATGGCAGGCGGCCGAGTTTTCGGCTGACGGGGTCAAATACGAAACGACGCCCGGAGTCGAGGTCGCGTCTTATCGCGCAGTCCGCGCGTAAACAAACGATACTCGGCGTGGGACTTTTTGTCTCTCGTGTCTCACGAGAGGAGCCGCGGGGCTCCTCGGTTGTTCAGTCGCGACTCGGACGACCGCGAGCGAACACAATGCGCGTCATTCATGACGGTCGGGCAGTGGCTTCAAGTGGCTAACTTTTCCTCGTTCTCCGATGCGCAGGGACGCGACTCTCCCGCAGTCGTCTTCGTCGTCTCGTCATTGTCGTCGTCGCCGTCGTCGTCGTCGTCGTCGTCGTCGTCGTCGTCGTCAGCAGCCAGTCGCTCAGTCACGGCCGTCCTCCGTGCGAGTGACTCGCCCCGTGGTGTGCCAATGAGAGAGCGGGAGAGCGATTCCCTTGTAAATAATCAGTGACCAGCGGCTGTCGAACTTGATCCTTCCGTACGCGCGCGTCCGTGTTCTACCTGGGCCCAAGTGCCGTCACACAGTGCCATAATAGTCCCTCGACGTAGCAGTCGAGCGTCTCCCCTCCGACGAGAAGAGGACCAAGAGGAGAAGAAGAAAGCACACGCGGGGGAACGAGCAACGGAGATAAGCGCGCAAGCAGCGCGCCGATAACAAGCTCGAGAACGTTCCTCGAGCGGCGGCTCCTCGCGGCGACTTGCCGAGCCAGTCGAATTGTCGAGCAGTTAACAGGTTAACTCTGCGTCGAGCTCGAGCTCGACGCGACGAGCAGATCGGATGCGAGCTGCTCGTCCGGCAGCGTGAGAGAGAGAGAGAGAGAGAGAGAGAGAGAGAGAGAGAGAGAGAGAGAGAGAGAGAGAGAGAGAGCGAGCAACGTGACGACTGTCGATAGCCACGTCGGGAAACAGGCCCGTCCCGGCCGCCAGCGAGGATCGTCGCCGTCGTCCTCGTGGCGGGCACGTGGCACCGCGCGAACCTCACCGACGAGCCGTGGAGCCGCGAACGAAGAGCGGCGAACGACGACGCGAGCCGCTGCCGCCGAGCCCGCGAGGAGCAGCAGGTGCACAGCGGGATGCGCGCGTCGACAGGGGCCAGCCGGTAGCTCCGTTGCCGGCGCTCGTAGCGATCCTCAGGCCGTGGGGCCGCAAGAGACGAGGTCGCTTCAAGGATCGGCCTTCGAACGCTATGTCGATACGCGTGAGCGGCGTCTACCTGGTGCCCAGTCCGGGCGGTGGCAACGACGTCGGCAACGACAAGCCCGGTAACCTCGGCGTACTGGAGGCCGGCCAGCAGCCGCAGCAGCAGCAGCAGCAGCAGCAGCAACAGCAGCAGCAACAGCAGCAGCAGCAACAGCAGCAGCAACAGCAACAGCAGCATCACCACCACCATCACCATCACCATGCGACCACGAAGACGGTGACGATCGTGGCGGCGCCGCAGCGCAGCAACAGCCTGGACTACCTCAACTTCGAGGAGAAGCGGCAGATCATCGCGTCGTCCTTGTCGCTCAGCGACTTCTTGGCACATGGGCCGGCGGCCGCAGCGGCTGCCGCCAAGGAGGTCGCGGCCAACACGGTGATCGGTGAGTCGATGATTATGATTCAGTAGATTCTTCGATGCCAATCGTCTAGCGATTGACGCTGGTTGACGATCTGTGGGTGGCGCGCGCCCGCGACCGCGCGTGGTCCACGCGAGGAATTTCTATTCGGGGGAAGCGCGCAACGTGGTTGACGTTTTGCACGCGCTGCGAACGAGAGAGCGGGATCAACGGGAGTTCGAGTCGGTGATGACTCGAGGATTACATCCGACTTTGAGTTCTGGAATGTATGTCGGATGCGTGTCGGTGGACGCCCCTGGAATCTAGAGAGTCTTGCCAGAGACCTCGGAAAAGAGGTCCTTCGAGCTGATCTGTTGCGTCCCTGGGCTGCAAGTGTTTTTTATCTTGGATCTTTCACCGTGCTCTCTATTTATCTTGTTTTATCTATGTTGCCGCGTGAAATTTCAATTGAGGTCTCTCTTTGCGCCGCTTCGTTTGAAGAGAGCGATAAGATTATGAGTGAAAAGAGATATATATATCTATACCTTTCCACTTAATCTTTACTAGGTGATTTTGTATTTGCTCATCGCGTAGATATTCGAGCCGTACTCCAGTTGCATAATTCATACGCCGCTTGTCGAACTAAAGAATAAAGATTAAGAATTGATGGCTGAGAGATATAGATAATCGAGTATCAAATGAGAGCAACTTAAAAGTGCTCTTGTAGCGTTCTTCTGGAGCCACTCCGAAGGCGGATCCTTCAAACTTTAGCGTGCAGGCAAGAATGCAAATAACGATTTGCAGCGTCAAAAGAACGCGGTAATTCATATATAGTGTTGAATCCTGAGATTCCCTCGTCGGTCCGGAAAGTTTGAAGGAATTTACTCCGCGGTATTAAAATTTCGAGTCGACGAAGACTCGAGTCTCGAAGAAACTTTGCCAGGTATCGCGGACGAGATTTATATTACATTTACTTTCGATTTAGATTAACGGTGATTGTTATGTTTGACACGAGTCACGTCTCGTGAACGATAATGGCGACGTAAGGAGGCGCAGAACGCGCTCGGATGAGAGCGTTTCCATTGTCGCCGGTCGCTTCCGTCCGGACGGAGCGAACGCGGACAATCGACTACAGGGTATTCTCCTCGATCGATCCGG